GTAGCCCACCTAGCTGTTTTGTCACAATTTGTCAGATATGAGCATTTGAGACAAACAGAATTGTACTAAGAGTTATCTTTTTTAGAAGAAGAAAACTTCCACCTCCCCACGCCCTTCCCCCCTCCTCCCCCAATATTACCACAGAATTGCAGGTGATGCTCAAATGTAACCTGTAGAGCATTGCTCCTGCCTGTCCAAAATCCTTGCCAGAAATAATCCCCAAGTTTTTATACTTTGTGCGAATTCAATGTTTGAACAGGCTGTAAGGATACTTCTCAACATATTAAAGACATTTCTAGATGTGTCCTTTATCTGGTACCTTAGAAATAATTGTTTAGGTCCAGGAATTATCAACATTTTAAAAGCAGTGGATACCTTCAGGTATAAGGCAGTGCTATTTTTTCCAGGCAGAACAATATTTTTATTCAAACAGTTATTTTTGTTTATGAAAAGCCATTCAAGGTGTGAGAAGCCATTGCAAGACACTTGGGGAATTGGAGATGCCAATGTGTCCATTGTTTTCAACTGGAGTTTATACATTTCTCAACACTGTATAAACTCACCCAAATTAAACTTGCTCTTAATACTTCAGACTGAGTAGGCACTACAAGATTTTCCACCTAATTTTTGTCACGTGCTGCATATTTTTACTAATTCATTCTCTTTACCAATCTCTTTTGCCTCCCTTCCTTTTCTTTTACCAAAGCTGCAACATCCTATGTATTACCTCCTTAAGTCAATTCTGCTTTCCTCTACCCAGCATGTCCCTCAACACGGATTAATCTGTACAAATCTCCTCATCTCCCATCACTGGTTTGCCATTTCTGAACATTATTTCAGATCATCTGCTCCCATCCAGCATGAAGTGAGTTCTGGCAGCAGAAAGACACAGAAGCTTTGCTGAATGTTCTCATTGACTGAGATTGCTTGATAGCAAAGTAATTGCAATTTTTGATAGGAAACGTTTTCAGACGTTAAACCTAGAACAGCCAAAGGGCAGAAAAGTTCTTCCTGAAAGCACATTCCCTTCTGTTTATCACTGATGTGAAACAGCACCCTTCCCATGTGCCGATGAACCTGATTGGCTTTTACTGCAATCTCAGCTTGGGCTGAAAGATAGTGTTGTGGTTTCGTACTGTATTCCTTACACTTATAAAAACAAAACAAAAAAGCAACCTGAACAAAAAATCCAAACAATTTACAGGAAAATCGTTTATATTTAATAGTTATGTGCAGGAAAGGACAGTGAAATATATTTTATTGTATTCATATATTATATTTTATTGTTGAAAGCTAAGCTATCGCTCTGTCTTCCTGATATTTTTGCTGTCAGTAACAGGGTAAAGATGTTTTATTACACAAATTACATACTTATAAGACAGTGTTTTAAAATGTAAATTACCTGTATAAAAGAGAATGTTGTTCAGTCCGTATAGGAAAACTGCCAATTGGTTTGAATGCAAGCAGCTAATGGTCATAGCAGTTTGCATGGCAAAAGATGTAATCTTCAAGTCTGGGCACCATATACTTTAGCAATGTTTTCAGAAATGCTGGGCAAAAAAAACCCCAACAAAACAAAACACAAAAACAATGATAGGAAATGGTGGGTAAAATCAAAAGCTAAGCAGTTACAGCCCATTTTTTTTTTTTTTTTTTTTAAATTCCAGAGTAAGTTATCTAACACACTTAAGTGTTTTAATGAGATATGGCAGTCTAATTCCCTTTAGAAACAAAGGAAACCCTGAGCCAGTCTTTTTTCAGTCTTCAATAACAACTGTAGGTAATAAATTAATACTTTTATTGACATCAGTGGGAGAAAAGAGTGCAGGTAAATATGGAGACTGTAGACAAATAAATGTCTCATAGAATTATTCTATTTTTAGAATCCTGAATTGTAATAAGCATAGCTTTTTGATGCTAATAGTTAGCATAACATCCTTCAGAAACCTTCCTTCTTCTGAAGTCATCAGATAATGACATTTACTGCCCCTGATGAGCGAGGAGAGAGAAACACTTGCTCTTAGATGTCAGATGTAAAGATGTGTCTCTTTACTATTAAGGCATAGCTCTGGTTCTGCTAGTTGAATAGATGCCAAATACTATAGTCCTCGTGTGTTTAATTGTTTCTGTATGCCTCGGAATTTAAAGAGAATTTAGGATGTGTTTGGCAGTAGCTCTCCCTCTATAATCAGGTTGCTATGGGAAACCTATTATTCCAGGAAAAGAAAGGGTATGTTTAGTGAAGTGCTGATCCCTCTTCAAGTATAATGTGAGCTTCAAATTACTTTTGAACGACTGAATTTCTATAGTAAGTGTTTTATCATAGTAACTAAGAGAATAATGGTACGGAATAAGGTGTGGCTTCTGCTAATTCTATAGCAACACATTTGATGAAGTAGCAGTATGATTGGAGCAGGCTTACTCTGAATCAAACATCTTATCCTGCTTTTCCTGGGGAAGAAAATGAAATCTATTGTTCCCGAATGTTAATAACTATTGCATTTACCTATACGGTGATAAATAAAGTCTTTGGAATTTATATTTACTCCATCCTGTGTAGTTAGTTGTTCAGAAATAAAATGGATTTTTATCCTTTGTCAAATTACCTCCACAGAGTGAGCCCACCTGATATAACCTAATGAAAACTGCAGTGCTTTTAAAGGTAAAATATGCTTTTTAAGTCACTTCAAAGTTACAGTTATTTACTGCCACCACTAAATCCCCTTGTCATGTTTCCAGTGCTGATTTTGCCACATTTAGAAAGAGAAGGAATGATGAAGTAATAATCTGACTGCCACTTTCAGCAGTTACTAAGCTGCTATGGATGTATCTTTGAATATTTCAAAAGAAACAGCTCAGAGAAATCCTTTTCCAGAGCACTGACTGAATAAAGTTTCTGTCTGTTTTCAAGACACATCTGCATTTAGATCAGATGATGTAAAGCAGACACTGGGCTTAGCGGGGATCTAGCCAAAAGCAAACGTGAGGAACAGATATAAAAAAAAGTGAGGTGTTTGAATGTTGGTGTTTCATTCATTAGCTAGGATGACAAGAATAAGAAGATCAAAACTCCCTTTCTGCTTGATTTTGCAAAGCCAAGCTGAGCTTGCATTTCTTAAATGCAAAAAACACCCTGTCTGCTTGAAGATGGGATATTCCTCAGTCTTTCCCTGATAGAACTGTTTCACATGAACTAAAATAAATATCAATTGCAGCAAGGACTGTGAGGAACTGTTTCCATTCCTAACACTAGGCTCTCAAGTCATTCTTGCATATTAATTTACACATTCCAGGAGGCATTTCTTAATTACAGAATGTGCGAGAGCCTCATTACAGAACCTTCCTTTGCTTATCCCTCTGGAAGATTTTCCACCTCTACTGAATTCTCTTTTCAAAGCAACTTGTTCAAATGGATTTTACTGTCCTTCAAGCATCCTCCTTACTATATTGTTAACTGGCCTGCTAGTCTTAAAGATGGTTCTTTTGTATATTTTCATAGATTTTCCACAACAGGTAGGTCCTGTTCATCTGGTAGGTACCTATCTACCTAAGGGTGATTGCCTCTGCATTGGGAAACTGGGTTATGTGGTGGTGAAGAAGCTGGTATGTCTTGGATGGATGATAGAAAGAAACTGTGAAATCACCAAAATGTAACCAGGTAGACACATTAAAAGTCTTTAAAGTGTTTTTTTGTTTGTTTGTTTGTTTGTTTGTTTGCTAAGGGTTCATTTTATACCAGTTACAAATGCTTTCCTTGTTAAATAATTATGGATTAGAGAAGGTGTGCAAATAACATCAATGATTCTGCATCAATCATATCTTAGATGTTGTCAAGATTATCAAATACAACTTCTCATGATTTGGTGAATGAAATTTCTTTTATGATTCTATCTGCAACTAATATCCTCATACAATTGCCCATGCAATGTAGTTTTAAAATAATATTTTTTATAAAGATATCATGAGTTATTTGCTGCTAACTCTTTCTTATCTTTTAAAAAAATTACTGTACTTTAAGATGATCATAAGCATGATTCTAGATTGACTCCTGACACATAGAATTTCCATTCAAATGTGCAATGAACATTGGTGCATGGAAAGCTGAAGAGCAAAGCAGCAATAAAATAAGTGGGAAACGCTGTCCAGAATTGACAAGATCCATCCAACTTCAGTTTATTTAGATTGATTTTGTTGAAAAACAAATCTAAGAAATTTGAGTTAAATGCTGAAAATGATCTGGTTGAATGTTGACGTAAAAGGTCTTATTGTCATGAAATTTACAGTTTGGAAAGCCCCACTAAGATTCTCCTTAAATCCTTTTCTCATCATGATGTTTTAAAAAAAATAGATAGTTATATATAACTATGCAGTCAAATTCTTAGAAGTTAGAGAATCGGTGTTATCTGAACTGAGAGCTTTGCTGGGTCTGTTCACTCCTTAAGCCCTGTGGAGTTTTTCTATGATGCAGTTGATGGAAGGCTGTGACAGAGATTATGCTTTCTACTTCTGTGTCCTGAGGTCTAGATCTCATTTTGTTTGTTTTCCAAATGCCAAAGAGAGAATTTAAGGAGTTATGATTTTACATGAATGAAGAAGATAGCATCTTAGATCGTCCAGTGCATAAATGATTTAATTCTAATTTAATTTCTTTCAGAGTTTCTGAGATTTGTGCTAAATATTTTAGATCAATTACAGAGGTTAATTATGCAGTTAAACATGTGCCATAGCTCTCTTATGCAAAACTGATGTATGATGAAGATACAATGCCAATGATTGTCTATTATTGCTGTTTCCATCAGGACATAAAAGCAATACATTTTACTTCTTGTTGCCATGGAGAAAGGATAATTTTGTGTTTTTTTTCTAATAGAATTTATGTGCATACTTAATAATTAATGCAGAGTGACATGTCTTTGAGAGGTAGAGTGTAGAATAAGTTCATTATATCATTTAATTTATTTTACTGAAATTTTACTTATACAAATATTTTCTTCTTACAGGAAAATGTGAATGTGGCCAATGCACTTGTTTCCCTCCAGGAGACAACAGAGTCTATGGAAAAAACTGTGAATGTGATGATCGGCAGTGTGAAAGTGTGGATGGCAATGTCTGTGGGGGTATGCATTCCCTTAATATAATATAAATAATATAAATAATATAAATAATATAAATAATATAAATCTTGGCCATTTATAATCTTCTATTTCCCCTGATTATATAACATAAGTCTATAAGTATTGTAACATAAATAATGTAAGCAGTATAAGTATTGAATTTATTTAAAAATTCCAGAAGCACTATCCAGTGAACTGGATTATAGATAACTGATAGCACGTATGCTAAGTGCTATAGTATATATCAAATTCCATCAGTATTCTTTAAAGAAGAATAAAGTTATTTAAATGAAACTTGAAAAATTAAGTAATCTTACCTTTGCGCTTTGTGTATTTGACTTACTGAGAACATTGTATATTTTACTTTATGTTAATAATGACCACCAATACATTTGAATATTTCGTATTCCGTAACAGTGATATTTCTATCTTCTTAGAAAGTAGAACACATTTTGAAATAATCTAAATGCTTGGTATACATTGTAATCATATTTGTACATTCAGATGGTTTATTTTAGTGTTGACAATGAAAACCTCACTTCTTGGTTTTGCAGTGGTGAATGTTGGCATTAAGAAATAAGATTTAGATATATGTAAATACATACATAAAGTATAGTATTTAAAAACATGGTAATCGTATTTGTCCTAAATGCTCTCTTTCTATATTTTATTGGCTTTCTAATAATATTCTTAACATTACAATAGAAAACTATATGAATCATAACATATTTTATTATAACTCTTATTTCTATATAAAAGAAAGAAACAAACAAACCATACTGCTTCATAATCTTTGTGCACACAAAATTTCTAACTACAGGGAATCTTTCTTCCAAGCAGAATGGAAAATTTGAGTTAAAATCTCTAACCAACAATAAAAATAGTACGTAACATCAGGATAATTCAATAATATGAATATGTAGAAAGATAATAATTTGAAATTTAATTTTATTTAAAAGATATGAAAGCAGATAAAAGCACTGAAATGGGATGGATAGATTGTAAGCTAAATAGCTGGAAACCAAAATTCATCATCTTCCATGATTAAAAATATCCATTCCACTTATTCATATTTTACATTATTCAGAGACAATGCTAATACTGCTAATTGAATCGCACATTTTGGAAATCATAGGCAAAATTTCCATTGTCCATTATTAGTTATAGTGATAATTTTAACTTTCATTTTTGGCTAGAGGACCTCACTCTGAAATGATAATCAGCTCAACACTGTCTATTTTCACTCTGCAAGAAACATTCTAATTCACACTGTTATCTAAATAAACTCTTCCCTTAAGTCTAAACAGCATTGTCCGTGCCAATGGCAGAAAATAACTAATTCAGTTTAAGGGTGTTTTTTTTTTTTTTTTTTTTCCCCTAATTTTGAAACAATGAATAGAAAGGAAAATCAGTCCCTGAAATTATGAATCAGAAGTAGACTTAAGCTCCACTCCTTCACTTTTACTCAAGCTGATAGTTTAATCGGTAATTGTTCTCTTCAAATGAGAAGGAATTGTATAGAAAAAAAGCAACTGAAATTCCAATGTCCAGCTTTAATTGCAGTGCACAGCATGTGTTTTCAGAATTTCAGAAGGCCAAGCCTATGATTTTGGTGTTCTAGGGAGCTGAGCTTGTTCTTAATTTTTTCCCTGCAAACTGTAAATAAGCACTGCATCAGCACTGTATCAGGAGTCTTGTCACCCTGATCTCCCTTGGAAGTAAAGGGAGATAAGTAAGCAAAATACAACATGATTATTAAATCCACCAAGATCTGAGCTGGCTACTGAAATGCCTCAAGAGAGATCAGAACATCTTTTCTCACTTGCAGCTGACTGAACTAAATGAGGCACAGCTGGTCTCTGGAGTTTTAGGCTTCCCAACTAGAAGCTATACTGTAGTTAATAATGCCTGCTAAAAATTGTTGGATTTTTGTGATAGACCTCTTGGATTCCAGTCGTAAATAATTGGCAGATTATTTTTTCATATTCCCACCATTTTCCTTCTTGTTCTATCTATTATATTTTAACATATAGAATCATAGAATCACAAGGTTGGAAACGACCTGCAAAATCATCTAGTCCAACTGTCCTCCCATTATCATTGCTACCACAAGCTATTAAACCATATCTTGCAGCTCCTCATCCACATGCCTCTTGAACACCACCAGGGATGGTGACTCCACCACCTCCCTGGACAGGCCATTCCAGTGCCTGACCACCCTTTGAGAGAAAAAGTTCTTTCTTATGTCTATCCTACACCTCCTCTGGTAACAACTTGTGGCCATTTCCTGGTCATTTCGCATATCTGTTAACATATTTTTAGATTACTGTAGATTAGGTTGTAATTTACTTCTTGAAGCATGTCCCTATATCATGGGATGTATATAGGTGTCTTACTGATCACACTAATCTCTCCCATATACCACTTTCTTGTGGCTGCTGGAGCTCTGGAGCGCTTTCTTCACTCATGTTCCCTTCACTGTATTTTTCTCCTTTTTCTTACTAGTCACATATCCTGAGACCTCATTTTTTTATGTCATCCAGTGTTTATCTATGCTTCTGATGCACCTGCCCAAGAAACCACTCCTTCACCTTAATAACTGATTTACTTGCTGCTTCCTTAAGTTTCTAGAACTTCAGCTGTAAGTTCTAAATACAGGAATGTTTATGTCTACATTATCTTCAGAGTCCCTATTGATTGCAGCTTTCTCCTCTCTCACCATTTACGTGAAATCCTCTCACCTTCATGCTCATAATATGAACTGCTTACTCTATATACATTTTCTGCTTCCACTCTGGCTTTCAACCAGTCAAATTTGTCTCCCTACAGTTTCTGATGAACTACTTTTGTTGTTATCTTTTTCATCTCTTCAACAGCACCTGAAATGACTGACAGCTTCAACCCAATCCTTTAGGAATTGTCCGATGTTTTGTTTGACTCTAACTTTCTATCTTCCTGATAGCATTTCAAATATTTCTTTTGATACATGGTGTTTCTCATCACTTTCATAAGATTCTATCACCTTTAGCCTTGTTTCATTTCTCCTTTTGCAGTTTATTTTTTCACAGAACTTCTCCCACTAATTTTGTGTTAATGGCACACAAATCTCTCTGTTCCTTATGTGTTTGCCCTGCCTTTTATCTCAACCTGTACCTCTTAAATCTCTTGCTGAACTGCTTATACTTCCCCCTTTTCATGATTATTTTTCTACCACTGTTACTACCTATGCAATCACCCTCAGGCTGTAAACTCTTGGTAGTAACTGTCTGCAGAGAACTAAAATGGACTCTGAATGTGCAGTCTGACACTGAGCACTGAGAGCCTGTAAGCATGCAGATAGAAAACCAGCGTTTTGAGATAAAACACATTCTGAAATGAGAAACGTGAATGACAACCTTAATCATTTGGATAAGAATTTTTACCGGCCTTCTCTGACCAGCAGGGATTGATTAATAGCTTGCTTTCCAGACCAGCTGTGTACGCGATGGTAGAAAGACATGAGGTGAAGGATATGATAAATTAGGGTACAACGGAGTGAGACCTTATTATCATGTTTCTGTATGATTGTAGTGAGTCATTCACTTAAAAATTCATCTGCCCATCACTGCAATACCAGGAATAGAGACGTTTCTTCTCCCCAAAGACAGAAGTTGCATGAGGACTCGGAAAAGATTCCACAGCCTTCTGTTAGTACATGTGGATTCTCCTTCCTTTGTCCATGCCTCTGCACAAAGACTTACTGTGGCTAGAGGAGGTCTCTCATGCAGCCTTGGAGACTGCTATGTTCTACCTACTTAAGGGCCCATTACTTGGAGGCCCATTTATTTCAGTGATCATAGAACCATGGAATGATTTGAGTTGGAAGAGACCTTAAAGATCATCTAGTTCCAACCCTCCTACTGTGGTCAGGGTTGCTACTGACTAGATCAGGCTGCCCATGGCCCCATCCAACCTGGCCTTAAACACCTCTAGAGATGGGGCATCTAGAACATCCCTGGGCAACCTGTTCCAGTGCCTCACCACTATCTGAGTAAAAAAATTCCACCTAGTATCTAACTTAAATTTTCTCTGTTGTAGTTTAAAATCATTTCCTTTTTTTCCTATCACTGTGTGCCCATGTAAAGAGTAATTTCCCTCCTGTTTATAAACTCAGTTTAAGTATTGGAAGATTGAAATGAGGTCTCTTCAGAGCCTTCTCTTCTAAAAGCTAAACAAGCCCAGTTGTCTCAGTCTTTTTTCACAGGAGAGCTGCTCCAGCCCTCTGACTATACTCGTGGCTCTCCTTTGTACCCATTCCAACAGCTCCTACGTCTTTCCTGTGCTAGATTTCCAGGCCTGGATGCAGTACTCCACTGGCGCCTTACAAGGGCAGAGTAGAAGTGGATAATCCCCTCTCTCTCCTTGCTGGCCATCCCTCTTTTGATGTAGCCCAAGATACTGTCAGCCTTCTGGGCTGCAAGTGCTTGCTGGGTCTCCATCAAGCCATTTGTACACCAAAACCCCAAGTCCTTCCTGGCAGGGCTGCTCTCAGTGAGTTCTCCTAGCCTGTTCATGTATCTGGGATCACCCTGTCACAAGTGCAACATCTTGTACTTGGTCTTATTGAATCTCATTCAGTTCATCTGGGCCCATTTTTCAAACTTCTCCAGATCCCTCTGGATGACATCCCTTCCTTTTATTGTATCAGTTGCACCACTCTACTTCATGTCATTAGCAAACTTGCTGAGGGTGCTCTCAATCCCACTATCTATAGGTCATAGATAAAGATGTCGAAGAGTACCAGTCTCAAGAGAGTCTCCTGGAAGATACCACTAGTCACTGGTCTCCACCTTGATATGGAGCCATTGATCACAAACCTCTGGCTGTGACCATTCAACCAATTCCTTTTCCACTTTCAGTCCATCTTTCAAATTCATATTTTCAATTTAGAGTTAGGAATGTGATGTGGGACCATATCGAAAGACTTGAAAGATTATGTAAGATTTGCCCTGAGGTATTGCAGT